TATCACAAAACCCAAATCCATCAGGTGTCTTGTGACAATGTGTGTGTGAACCCTGGCTTCCTGTTCTGACTGCGCTAACAGGAGCCAGTCGTCTAAATACGTGGCCAGACGTATCCCCCGGCGTCTGAGCGGGGCTACCGCGGCCTCTGTGCACCGTATGAAAACCCTCGGACTGAGAGACAGACCGAATGGTAGAACACGGTATTCGTAACACACCCCTTGAAAGGCAAATCGGAGATATTGTCTGTGAGGGGGATAAATGGGAATGTGGAAATACGCGTCTTTCAGATCCGTGGACGAAAACCAGTCGTCGGTCTTACCAGACGCAACAGTGCTGCATGTGTCAGCATCCTGAACTTGTATTTCCGCAGGAATTTGTTCAGGGCTCTTAAGTCCAGAATAGGGCGGATTCCTCTCCCCCCCCGTTTGGGGACGAGGAAGTATCTGGAATAAAACCCTGACAGACTCTGTTCGGGAGATACGACAGAAACTGCTCGTTTGTCTATCAGAGAGAGAATTTCCTCCCGTAAAACTCGAGCTGAGCTGATTCTCCCTGTGCATGTGAGTGTATTACACCGGAGAAGCGGGGAGGGACAGTGGCGAATTGAAGCCTGTATCCCCGGGAAATTGTGCGCAACACCCACGGTGGAGCTGCTGCTGCTCTCCAGCTTTCCCATCTGAGAGAAAGCGGGGGAACATATTGCGGCTCCTGCCCCGCGCCCCCCTGTGGTGGAACCGAGAAATGATTCTCGGGCACCACCGGAGGCACGGTGGGGCGCTCTGCTCTGCTCCGTGGGGACGGCGGTGCCCGTCCCGGGAGCAGAGCTGCAGGGGGCTGAGCGGCCACCCTGCTTATGGAGAGAGAATCGTCTGTTTTGGCTTTTTTTATTATCTGCACCCTCGGCTCGTGGCCTGGCTGTGACAGATTTATTATTTTTTATTTTGACACCATTTTTTCTTTGAACAAGGGTGTGTGACTGTGCTTGTGGACATTCCGCTCAGGGCGCAACCGCGCAGACCTCCGGGGCGATGTCCTTCTCCTCGCGGACCGGCTCTGGGATGGGCAACGGTGGCGTGGGGTGCGCACAAACAAGCCAAAACGGTGGGCCTGCGCAACGGGGAACAGCAGGCTGCACCAACTGAGGAACTGGCGGCTGTCAGGCCGCCCTCTTTTTCTTCCTCGCCTGTGGGACCGAGCTCGCGGCGGCTGTGGGCGGCGGCGGCGTAGCGGTCGTGGAGGCAGGTTTCCCCTGCCAGCCGGCTCCGCGCTCCTTCCTCATTGGAGGGGGCGGACCTGGCGGTGGTGGCCGTCTTGGTATCTTAAAACGCGGCGGCTGGGAGGCTGCATGCGCAAAGGTATTGCGTTGCACCGGAGGTGAAGGCGCAGGGGCTTTCCGAGGGAGACAAAGTTTGAGGGCCTCGTTGTCCTTTTTCTTTGCCTCACATCTTTGCTGCATTGTGGCCAATGCAGAGCCGAAGATGCCTTCAGGGACGATCGGCATATCCAGGATGTCATCCCGCTCCCTGTCGGTCAGGTTAGCGAGACTGAGCCATCGTGCTCGCTCCTGGACGACGAGGGTTGCCATCACCTTCCCTGTGGCCTGGACCGCGACACGTTGGATACGGAGAGACAGGTCCGCGATGACCGCCATCTCCTCCCACGCATCCGGGTCTTGCTCCTCAGCAGACGCGCCAAACAACTCCGCTTGGTAGGCAGTGAGGATGGAGAGGGCGCTGAGGGCTTTGGCCGAGAGGGCTGCTGCTTTGTATGCCTTTTCGGTCAGCGCAGACTGAAACCGTTCGGGCTTAGCTGGCAGCGTCAGGCGCCTGGGGGAAGCTGCAGACAGCTGGCTCACGCTGCCTGGGCAGAGGTGCGCAGCTACCGGGACTTCCACCGGAGGCATGGAGAGGAGGCCGTGGGCGTCCATCGCCTCGCAGTCGAGGGATGCTGCGCCCGAAATAGGGCTCCTGTTGCTGTATGGGCAGCTAGTCCATGTTTTGGAGAGCTCCGTCAGCAACTCGGTCCGTTTGCCTTCGTAGCGGGACCGGGTGGGCTCCGCTATTGCGACCGGCCAGGGAATCTCCAGCTTCTCTGCCGCGCGTTTGCACACGTCGAGCAGGTCCACATGGAGGGAGGGAGCTGGTGAGCTCGCTCCCCTGTCTTCCTTGGTGGAAGGGCACGGCGGTTTAGGCCTCTCAAGCTGTGCTGGGGCCATGAAGGTGTCATCCTCTTCCTCGTCCTCTGATATGAGGAACGAGGTGTCGTCATCCTCCTCCATGGGGCTGACTTCCAGCACGTCTTCCTCGGGAAACGGGGGGGCATGGAGCTGCTCGCACTGGGCACCCCAGTCGTAGTCAGTCTCCGGAGCTTCCCCAGCTGTGTCCACGTCCTCCTCCGTGGCTGCACCTTGTGCGGCGGTGGGGAGGAATGGGTCACAGTCCGAGACGCTAACCTGGCGGGCTAGCCTGCATCTGAAGCTCTTAACCGTGAACACTTTGCAGTGTCCACAGGAGCCGGGAATTTCTAGGGCCAACCTGGCGTGGTCGACTCCCAGACAGGTACTGCACACCGGGTGGGTGTCCTTCCCTGAAATTTTATTCCCGCAGCCACAAAGACTGTAGTCTCCCATGGCGTGGGGGTTTTGGACGGCCGCCATTTCCCAACGAGCTGGAGTGCTGGTAGGGAAAGGAACCGTAGCTAACTGGCGTGCTAGCGTGGCGGGGTCGAGGAAGTAGCTGGTGTGCTAAATGCTCGTCCGACTCGAGCGTCCGTGGAGGGGAGCCGAGAGGGATTCCGCCGTGAAGAGAGACAAAAGGATACCGGTCCGGTCTGGAGTGAGCGGACAGGGCAGAAGCCAGAGCACAGTGCTAGCGTCCGGCGACGGAAACTAGCAAGGTCCGTCTGTGGGCAGTTAAGCTAGCGAAGGCTCCGATGTGAGATAAGCTCTCAGGTGAGAAGAGGTTTTGAATTGGAGTGCCGTGATCCGCACACGCTTTAGTAGTCGGAGCTACGGGGCGTGGCGTATGATGGGCACTTCCACCGGCCAATCAGGATTGGCAGATTGAGATAGATGCTTCTATCAGGGCTGCAGGAGGCTGCATCCCATAGCATAGCGAGACACCGAGTGAATATTATGAAAAAGAACTTCGGATTCAAAATAAGAAATAAAAGGTTGCCAAATTTTGAAATATCTCTTAAAGGAATAGTACACCCAAAACATGATTAGCCTTCATTTTCTACTCACCCCCATGCTGAACAACACTCTGGAGTACTTTTTTGATATCTCAAATGCATCTGGAGATCTGGGAGGCTTCTTGCTGTCTGCTGACATTCAAATAATGGAGGTCTATGGTGCCCGAGGCAGAAAGGTCCATAAAAGTCCACAAAAAACGTGTCAATATTCCTCCATACTGCTCGTCCAATGTATTCCAAGTGTCCTGAGTGGGTAGCGTCCAGAATTTACTCGAAACGAAGTCATTTAGAATGTTTTTAGAGCATAAACAGTAGTGTATAGGATTTCCTAAAAGCGCGCGCCTGTGAGTTCACGACGCTATGGAAAGACCAAAACCAGATCAAACCAGATGAAAGTGCGCATTCGGCTCAGCAAAGAACTCATGCTCTTCCTCAACACTTAAGTCCTCAGACATTTTTCTTTCATTGTTTCTTTCTTTGCACAGGTAAACAGCACATTTCTTCTTCTATGCTTGCATTATTGGCAGAGCAGACGCTGAATGCGCACTTTCGTCTGGTTTGGTCTGCCGCGGTTTCCGTAGACTCGTGAACTTTTAGGAAATCCTATACACTACTGTTTATGCTCTAAAAACATTCTAAATGACTTCGTTTCAAGTAAATTCTGGACGCTACCCACTCAGGACACTTGGATTACATTGGACGAGCAGTATGGAGGAATATTGACACGTTTTTTGTGGACTTTTATGGACCTTTCTGCCTCGGGCGCCATGGACCTCCATTATTTGAATGTCAGCAGACAGCAAGAACCCTCCCAGATCTCCAGATGCATTTGAGATATCAAAAAAGTACTCCAGAGTGTTGTTCAGCATGGGGGTGAGTAGAAAATGAAGGCTAATCATGTTTTGGGTGTACTATTCCTTTAATGGTACCCTGTGACGTAAATCGAAGATGTTCTGGCTTTAGGTGTGCCATTACCTCCTCTATCCATCGTTTATGAGTTGGTGGAGCTGCCTTTACCAAGTTAAATAGAATCAATCTTCTGGCCAACAGCGAAGAAAATGCCATCGCCTTCTTTTGAGCTGTCGTTAATTCTATGCCCCCCCGGTGCCACGCCAAAAATGGCTACCAGAGGGACCGGTTCAATGTCTTTCCTGTAGACAGATGAAAAAGTTTTAAAGATTTCAATCCAGAATTCTTTGAGTCCGGGGCAAGACCAAAACATATGGGATGTGTTGGCTGGCACCTGTTTATATCTAGGGCAAGTCGGATCGGCTCCCTGAAAAATTCTCGCCAGTTTGTCCCTGGTGAAATGAAGTCTATGTACCACTTTAATCCATGTCAACACAAACTGGTGAAGAATGTATATATTCTACAGCCTTGTTTTGGCTTAGAAAACATGCAAATTGAACCTGACGAACGGGTCCGCCCCTTTGGAATGGGGGTCGTTTTGGTTCGTTGTTAACCTGCAATACCCCATACCTGTCTATGTCTCTGAAAGGGAGATAGTTAAGGGAATTGTTGGCCTGGCTGAATAGGTGAGGTCTTTTGTTACACTGTAAAGGGGTTGCAATGATAGCGGGAAGGGATCAACTCAGTTGCTTCATTGTAGATTTTTGAAAGCTGAAATCTTTAAGGTTGTTTTTTCTTTCTTACCATAGATTGCTTCCTTCACGCCTCTCTCAAACTACCTGTCTACTTTGTCCAAAATATGAACATTCTGGTCCTGAACAGAATGTCCTTTGTCCATAAGATGTAGATGTACCAACAGACTATCTAAATGGCTGTTGATCTCTCCGTCTGTTTGTAGATATCTCCACGTCTGTGTCTGTGCCTGACGACAAGTGGCTGTCCACGCTGGAGAGCACCCGCTGGTTGGACTACATCAGGTGAACACTTTGCCATGCTGTTTTACGAGGGGCGTTCAATAAGCAATGCCCCTGACCCACTTCCAGTTGTTTGCAGGGTTCCCGCAGGTCCTTAAAAAGTCTTTAAAGGCATTGAATTCTTCAAAATAAAACTAAGGCCTTAATTGGTATTAAAATGTCTTAAATAAGTCCTTCCTAGGTCTTAATTTTTAAAACATCATAAATAGTTATTTTTATCACAATTTATTTTTGTAATCTAAATAAAACATTAAAACAGCTTTTTTTTTTCATAAAAAAAAAAAATAACGGCTCGCCATTATTGGTTCCGTCCCGATAGCGGAACCAATAAAAGCGTTGTTGCAGCCGGGACATTTGGGAGATGCGCCTTTGTCTGGAAAATACACTATATTGCCAAAAGTATTTGCTCACCCATCCAAATTATTGGAATCAGGTGTTCCAATCACTTCCATGGCCACAGGTGTATAAATTCAAGCACCTAGGCATGCAGACTGTTTTTACAAACATTTGTGAAAGAATGGGTCGCTCTCAGGAGCTCAGTGAATTCCAGCGTGGAACTGTGATAGGATGCCACCTGTGCAACAAATCCAGTCGTGAAATTTCCTCGCTCCTAAATATTCCACAGTCAACTGTCAGCTGTATTATAAGAAAATGGAAGTGTTTGGGAACGACAGCAACTCAGCCACGAAGTGGTAGGCCACGTAAACTGACGGAGCGGGGTCAGCGGATGCTGACGCGCATAGTGCGAAGAGGTCGCCAACTTTCTGCAGAGTCAATCACTACAGACCTCCAAACTTCATGTGGCCTTCAGATTAGCTCAAGAACAGTGCGCAGAGAGCTTCATGGAATGGGTTTCCATGGTCGAGCAGCTGCATCCAAGCCATACATCACCAAGTGCAATGCAAAGCGTCGGATGCGGTGGTGTAAAGCACGCCGCCACTGGACTCTAGAGCAGTGGAGACGCGTTCTCTGGAGTGACGAATCGCGCTTCTCCATCTGGCAATCTGATGGACGGGTCTGGGTTTGGCGGTTGCCAGGAGAACGGTACTTGTCTGACTGCATTGTGCCAAGTGTAAAGTTTGGTGGAGGGGGGATTATGGTGTGGGGTTGTTTTTCAGGAGCTGGGCTTGGCCCCTTAGTTCCAGTGAAAGGAACTCTGAATGCTTCAGCATACCAAGACATTTTGGACAATTCCATGCTCCCAACTTTGTGGGAACAGTTTGGAGCTGGCCCCTTCCTCTTCCAACATGACTGTGCACCAGTGCACAAAGCAAGGTCCATAAAGACATGGATGACAGAGTCTGGTGTGGATGAACTTGACTGGCCTGCACAGAGTCCTGACCTCAACCCGATAGAACACCTTTGGGATGAATTAGAGCGGAGACTGAGAGCCAGGCCTTCTCGTCCAACATCAGTGTGCGACCTCACAAATGCGCTTCTGGAAGAATGGTCAAAAATTCCCATAAACACACTCCTAAACCTTGTGGACAGCCTTCCCAGAAGAGTTGAAGCTGTTCTAGCTGCAAAGGGTGGACCGACGTCATATTGAACCCTATGGATTAGGAACGGGATGTCACTTAAGCTCATATGTGAGTCAAGGCAGGTGAGCAAATACTTTTGGCAATATAGTGTATGAGCAAGTGTAAATGTAACCAAAATTGTCTCCAGCCAAGAGTTTCCTCCATGGCTAAAACCAGGGAACATACATGAGGCTCAGTGGATTTTGTGCAAGAAGCGATTCAAGCTCGGAACGATGGGAATTAAGGCAGTGGAGTCGCACATGCGAAGCACGAAACACAAAGCGTCAAAATCGAGTTACAGAGAAACAGCCGGTATTTCTCAGTTTAGTTCCACCCTGGTCTCTGCAACGCCTCCACTTATCACCAAATCAAACATACAAAGAAAAATAGCTGCAGAAAAGACTTAGCACTGGTTATGTTGTGGCTTTAAAACTGATTAGTTTTGTTCCCTGCTAAAACAAAGTTTGTGAATTCAGTTAAATAATTGTTAAAATATATCTGTCATTTGTGTGTTTTTAGCTTTCTTCCTGTATGGGAAGCTTTTCAAAATTTGAAACATTGGTGCAGTGGTTTATGTTAAAATAAACCTTTGGGTTAAGTTGTCACAAGCAGGTTTTTCTTCTGAATTTGAGCTTAAATTTTTATTTCAAGTGGCATTAAAAAGTCTTAAAAAGTCTTGAATTTAACTTGCCTTTATGCTGTAGGAATCCTGTGTTGGATCCAGCTGAAATTTTGCATGTGCTGTTATTTATATCTGCATAGATTAACTGGCGTTTTATAAGGTGATACGATGGGGCATCATCGCCATAAGTCATTCATTTAGTCAAAAGTCTCCAGTGGTGGGCGGATCACTGACATTCAGCAGCAGGTCTTTGCATTGCGAGGAGAGCTCTCCGTGCAAAGCATTCTGGGATATATCTGCATCTTCTGAGGCCTTTTTTTCTCATTCACTTCATAGACACTTTTTATCTTATGACCCTCGGCCATTTTCAAAGAACCGCAGTGAGAAAGGTGAGCTTCAATGACTGTCTGAAAGTGCGCATTCGCAGAAAAAGATAGCTAACGGGACGAGCACGTAGGACGGCCTTACGTAAACATATACCAGAATGAGTGACAACTAGTGGGACCACTTATTTAGATGATCCACCCGGAAATAAAATCGTCCTCTATACCTTTAAAACAACATACTTTGATAGTTTAGAAAAACAAGATAAGAGGCTAATTTTGTCCTTATTTAAAGATAAATAATGTTATCTATTTGGTAAATTGTCTCTTATTTAGATGATCCACCCGGATATAAAAGATCATCCTCTATGTCTTTATTCTATAGAGATATAAATAACTGCACATGCAGAATTTCAGCTAGATCATAAACCTGGAAGTGGGTCAGGGGCATTACTTATTGAACGCTCTCCCATATGCTCGTACACTGCTGAGGGCAGCTGGGTGTTATACTGTGAGAACTACTACAGTTCCCATGATGCAGCGAGCTCAGCCTTAAAAGGCATGAACTTCCACTGCTCAGGATTTATGGACTTTGCTCCTGGGATTGGAACAGAAGGGAAATCAATTAATTGATTCCCTAACAGCTCATTTAACCCTCCTTCAGTTCTTCCTTCCTTCCTTGGTCAGTGCATCCTTCCTTCCTTCCTTCCTTGTTTTTATCCTCCCTTCTTCTGCCTTCAGTTTTACCTTTATTTTCTCCTCTCTTTTCATCGATTCATCCCTTTACGTTTTAGATCTGATGATACTGAAGCTCATCCACTTAAACCTGTGTTTTTGGGGGAAAATAGACTTTTATTATAAATCACTACAATATTTAAATGACCTTTTATAAGAGGACATTAATAGTTTATTTCGTATTATTGATAAAATAAAATCCTGCTGCTTTGGTTCTTTTTATCTTAATGTTTCTGTTCAAAAGAAGAAAATTGATCAGTTAAAGTTCCTGACAATAAGCTGAAGGGCCTAAGAGTTTGATCTCTCCTCTGAACCTCCCTCAAGACATGAAGTAGTTCACCGTTTTTCGTTTCTTGTTTGGCTGAGCTGTTTATTTAGACCATTGCTCTGCTGGAAGACCCAGCCACTTTCCTTCTATGCTCTGATGGAAGGTCTTCAAATTTCACCATTCCTGGCCTTGTTCATTCTTCCCTAAACGTTAATCAGTCCTAATGCATTCTCCTCTGCAGAGAAACAGACTCAAAATGTTCCATTTTAAATGGATTTATTATATTTAGAATCTTTCTGGTATATTTACTAACCTTCTGAGGACCATTAGGCCTCATGCACCGCAAATATAACCTAACATGCAGATCATTATCAGACTATTTAAAGTTCTATGTGCAGAAATATGAAGGTGTGTGTTTGTCTGCAGGTCATGTCTGAGGAAAGCTTCGGAGGTTTCCTGCTTGCTTCGCAGTGGTCACCTGACTGTGGCCCTGCAGGGTAAGTCACTGGACCCTGGTTCGTATTATTAATACATCCATCCATCCATTATTCACATCACCTCCTCATTAAAGCCACATTAGCGCACATTAGTAGCTGTTTAACAGGAACAACCACACTCCACTGGACCCGGACACACACAGCTCAGAGGTTTCCATACAAAAGGCTTTTAAGGCTGCAGCTGTGAGATTACAGCTTCATCTTACTGGAGCAACTTATCGCTCAGAATTTACTTTGAACAGCGATTATTGTGGCTTCCTTTAGCTTTTAAAAACAACCACTGAACCATCAGGTTTACTAAACACAAACACCAATCTTTGTTTTTTTTATGGAAGTTAATCCAACTGCCAGGAGATGATTTATGAGGGGAAAATGAGATAGAAATATATCAAACAGGATTAATTTATTTCACTTAAATGTCTAGAAATACACATGAATACACCTGAAAAATGTGTTGCTGTCAAGAAAAGCTTTAAACACCAGCTGAGGCTTGTAAGGCTTCCTACTAATTAACTAAACTTAATTAGTTTTACTTTGTTTTTATCAAAACACCTGAGCTGCTTTGCTGAGCTTCAATAGCCCAGGCTTTAGAATTTTATTCCAATAATGGAACAAAATTCACTCCATACTGACTGTGTTTTCAATGATGAGCTTTTCACATTAGATCCACTAGAATGCATGGAAACAGCATCTTTCTTCAAGGTTTTCCTTCTTTTGTAAAAAAGAAAAATCCGGCCCTCTGATGTGACTTCAAGCTGAGCTCGACCAGCCCAGCTTTAGATTTACTGCTCTGTTCCAGGCTGGTTCATCTCCTCCAGGCCTGATAGATCCTGCAAACAGATGTGTGCTGCTGCAGCAATGATGAGCCATTTTCCCACATTAACGCTGTTTTTTCCCAACCTGCCATCTCTCTTAAACCTTTAGTATTATTCATGGATGAAGCGTCACCTCTGCTCCGCTCTGAAGAACAAAGAAATTAGTCAATTTGGGTCACAGCTGTCTTTAAATGTCTTTAATAACGAAGGAGTTTTCAAATAAGGCCCAATTAATCAATATTGATACGTCTTTCTGTCTTTCTTTCCTTCTTTCTGTCTGCATGTCTTTCTTCCTTTTTTTCTCTCTTTCGTTTTTTTTCTGTCTCTCTTTTTTCTGTACTTTTTTCTTTGTCTGTCTTTAGTTTTTCCTGTTTTTCTGTCTCTTTTTTTTCGTTCTGTCTCTATCTTTCTGTCTTTCTTTCTTTTCTAGTGGTTTCGGTGTACAGTTCTTTAGCTGTATTTAAATTTATTATTTAAATTCCACAGTGTTGTGCAAAGAAGAAATCTGTTCATGTGCTTTTAACTTTCATTTCTGGAACGGCAAAACTAGCAATATTACGGAAGAGGATTAGGGCCACTGAAAAAAAAAAAAAAGTTAACTGATTTTTTTATTTTATTTCAGTATAGTATGGGAAAAAACTCAGAATTCTGACTTTAATCTCAGAATTCTGACTTTTTTCTCAGAATTCTGACTTTAATCTCAGAATTCTGACTTTTTTCTCAGAATTCTGACTTTAATCTCAGAATTCGGACTTTTTTCTCAGAACTCTGACTTTTATTGTCAGAATTCAGTCAGAATTCTGAGAAAAAAGTCAGAATTCTGACTTTTTCCCATGTTAAACTGAAATAAAATTTAAAAATCAGTTAACTTTTTTTTTTTTCAGTGGCCCTAATCCTCTTCCATACAATATGGATATCAAGAAAACAAAATAAATGTTTATCAAACGGAAGATGCTTGTGTTTTATTTCAGAGACTGTCTCTGTAGAATTTGAGATTTTTAAGTTTACAAAGAGTATAGATGTTTTTTCACAAGTAAATTAGGCATTAATGGTGTTTTGTGTTCGGTGGATGAAGAATCTTTAGTTTTTGATTTTTTTACTCTATTAACATTATTTTGCTTTATTTATCGCTGGAAGGTGCAATAAGGGCAATTTAAAATAAAAAAAACTCTTTCTTTCTAAATTAAGCCAGAAAAACGTCTCAATATCTCACTATTTGGACGGCTGCAGCAAAAGCTGGCCTCTCAGGGTCGCCACGTCTCCATAGCAACTGTTGGATGCTGAGGCTTGTAAGGCTCTCTAGTTTGTGGAGACGAAGGGACGTCGTTTAACTCCTTCAATCCTGTGGGTTTTTTTAACTCAGAGGTGGAGGACCGCGACATGGGCTGCGTGGTTTCCAGTCTGGTCCAGGTGATGTGCGACCCCCACTATCGGACCCAGCACGGCTTCCAGGGCCTCATGCAGAAGGAGTGGGTGATGGCCGGCCACCGCTTCTACAGCCGTATCAACTACCACCGAGACAGCGACAAGGAGGAGGTGAGGCGGCGAAAGCAGAGCTCCATCCTTCCCTCAGTGGACCGTCTCTCTGTGTGGCGGCTTCTGGAGATGACCCCGCCTTTAATAACCTCCTGACTCCACTTCGATCCCGGCTCTGTTGACCTGCTCTAATCCAAGCAGGGTCCAAACTTGTCGCTTGGAAAAGAGGCAGAATTAAACACTAATTCTTTAGCTGAATTAGGTCCAGAAAAACAACAGATTGTAGATTTTACCATAACTCCTCCGTTTGGCTCCTTCGTCTCTCCACCTCTGTTTCTATTAGTGAAAAGTATTTTTATCTTATTCATTTATTTTTTACTGCTTTAATTTTTCCTTTAATGTAATGTGATCAGTTGGTGCCGTAGCGCCCTCTGCTGGTCACCAGTCTCCGCCCTGCAAAATTACACTGCAAAAACAATCTAAAAATGAGTAAAAATGTCTTAAATTAAGTGTATTTACCCTTAATTTGAGTAGATAAATAAGATGATTTGCCAATGGAATGAGTATTTTTACTCTTTAAATAAGATAATTAGATAATATGCACTTGAAATAAGACAATGCAATTGTATTTTCTTATTTTAAATCTAAATTGTCTTGTTCCATTAGCAAAATGTCTCTTTTATCTCCTCAATTCAAGAACAAATGCACTAATTTTAAGAAGAAATTACTTATCTAGATTTTGTTTTTTTCCAGTGTAGAACTAAAGTTTTCTTGAAATGAGTGTTTGTTTGTTTGTTTTTAATCTGGGTCGTAAGTGACACAATTTACTAAGTGAATAAGACGATATATCTTTATATAAAGGAAATAAGCCTGTTATCTTGTTTTACTATAATACGTGTCGTTTTAAAGGTATTGAGGACATCTTTGTGGTGATATATTTACATAAGTCCGTACTACGTTCTTAGTCAAGTTAGCTTTTTTTTAAATATTTTTCTGCACAGTTTCAGGCGTGTATCTGTGGTGAGCTACGGTTTTAGACACCTTTCTCACCGCGGTTCTTTGAAAATGGCCGATGGTCGTAAGAGAAAAAGTGTCTATGAAGCGAATGAGAAGAAAAGAAAGGCCTCAGAAGAGGCAGATATATCCCATAATGCTTTGCGCAGAGAGATCTCCTCGCAAAGCATTCTGGGATTTGCTGTGACAGCGGCTAATAACAAAGACGGCTCAGGCACTGCGTGGTGGAGGAGGAGTCATGTGACCAACGGAGCAAAAAGCAGTGATCATCTGTCCGAACGGTCAGTTAATAGAGTTTGCTATAGAGTCCACTATATATTCCTCGCTGTATGTATAAACAGTAATCTTGTATGAGAACAGCACATGTTAAACAGGGCGTGCACGAGGAGAAATGCTCTTGCACGTCCAATTTTTTTTAAAGTCATAGGGAAGTCATATTTAAAGGCATACTATGCAACATTTTTCAGTTAATTAATGTGTTCCATAACGTTTTGGATGATTAAATGAGTCATTTCAGGTCGAACAAAGGTTTTCTCGGCCGCCCTGGTGGTCTGTAGGGGAAATACCGTACTTGCATTTGCAGGAGCCCTCGGCCCGCACCCACAGGCTCAGAAGTCTCGTGCATCGCGAGAGTCGGTCTTGCTTTACGGCGAGAACTGCTACACGCGCCCAGTGAAAGGCATGCTCGTTGCTAGCGCAGTGGCGATATTTGTGCAGTTATCATGGCGGAACCAGCGAGAAAACAGCGAAAGCCCATGTCGGAGCAGGCAAGATAGAGGAAAAGGGCTCTCTACCGCAGTAGACATGGTGATTCGTTGCGTTCGCCTGTCTGCTAAGCTCAAAACAACCGCGCCTGGCTTGACGGAGAAACCAGGAGAACAGCTGAGCATATTTACGACAGTGTACTTTTACTTTCGCCCTCTGGGGGGAGCCTCGCAGGAAAATCAACACCGGTTGCATAGTATACCTTTAAATTTCAAATCATTCTGGCTTAAACAGGTATATAAATGCGCTCTTTATCAGACCATATTGTCCCAAAATTTATAAAAAGAAGAACCTTTCGCCACAACAATAGATAATATGATAATCGACCAATCACATTCACTTTAGTCACTCGGGAGAATTGGGAAATGCAACAGTTGGAACAGCTGCTTCCCTACGACCTTAAAGTGGGGAGGAAAGGTCTTTTAAAAAATCCTTCACAATACCTTTAAGAGTATTTTTCAGAATTATTAAAGTATTTCTGATTCTGATTCTGGAAAATACTCAGAAATTCAGGTTAAATTGACTCATTTTAGAAAATGTTTACTTATTGTTAGCCCAGGTTTTGCAGTGTGGATGTTTCCACTCATCCCTCCTCTCTCCTCCAGTCTCCAGTCTTCCTGCTCTTCCTGGACTGCGTCTGGCACCTGTGGTTCCAGTTTCCATCACGTTTCCAGCTAACAGACGACTTCCTGCTGGCCCTCCATGACAGCGTCCACCTGCCGCTCTTCTCCACCTTCCTGTCCAACTGCCAGCGGGAGAGATGCAAACGTTCCCAGGTACTGAAGCACCTTAGATGAACTGGTTTGTACTGGCCAACCTCCGAATCAGAACAAACCTCCTGATTGTTTTTTATTAAACTCTCTCCAGAACGTCAGCCAATCCTACACGCCTGTTAACGGTTGGAGGGATATGCTGAGTCCGCACTCTTCCTCGGATCCATTGGACCCGCCTCTGCCACCGGTTTGGGACTGGGCCCTGCAGTACAGTCAGGAGAGGCGAGATCGCTTTAGTCAGAGCGTCGTGGCGGCGCCGCCGCTCCAGGCGCTGCTGAACGGAAACCTCAACACCAACCTGGACGCACACCTGGTAAATGCTCTGTTATTTCTAGTGATGCCACAGCCCCCTCTGGTGGGCATCCCTCCAACCCTCATGCCCTCCTCCACTGAGCAGCGGCTAAGCTCCCTGAAGCACTGCCGTTCTTCAGATCAGTAAAACAAATAAAAGATCTAACAATTCAGCTAAGCTGGTTCATCACATCTTTTATTTTTACTGAATAAAATAATGATAATAATTGAACTTTATTGATCTCACATTGAAGAAATTTACCTGTGAATTTAACCCATCCCTCGGCGAGCAGTGGGCTTGCTCAGAGATACAGAGTAGCAGTCTGTGGGAGTGGGGCTCAAACTCAGAACCTCAGGATTCCAAGCTCTACGCCCTAACCACTAGGCTGCCCTCCCCAATCTGAGTCACATTAAAGACATTTTTATTAAAACCTTGACAGAATGAGCAATAATTATAATTACTATGGTCAAATTTGCAATCATATTAAAGTTTCCATCAATATTAGAACTATAATTGATTAAAAAGTTGATGTTTTTTTACTGTCCACTGAATAAAGCCTCTCAGATTAGTTCATTAGAACAGAAAGCTTTGAATGTCTGTATTCTGTCCTTATAACTGGGAGGACCCAGAAAGGACCCAGCATCGGTATCCTCTGCCTCCAGCAGTAAGTCATTCTAGTTTTGGGCCAATTTTTAGGCTTTCACATTGGTCACTCTCAGACAGACCTACCCACCTACTGCTTACTAACCTACCTACCTACTTAGTTATTTACCTACTCACCTAGCTACCTACTTACTTACCTACTTACTTACTCAGTTACTTACTTACCTCCTTACCTACCTACTTACTTACCTCCTTATCTACCTACTTACCTACCTACCCACTTACTTACCTACTTACTTACTTCCTTATCTAACTACTTACTTACTTACCTCCTTACTTACCTACCTAATTACCTACTTACTTACTTACCCAGGTACTTACTTACCTACTTACTTACCTCCTTATCTACCTACTTACCTACTTACTTACTTACCCACTTACTTACTTACTTACCTACCCACTTACTTACTTACTTACCTCCTTATCTACCTACTAACCTACTTACTTACCTACTTACTTACCTCCTTATCTACATACTTACTTACTCAGTTACTTACTTGCCTCCTTATCTACCTATTCACCTACTTACTTACCTACCCACTTACTTACCTACTTATCTACCTACTTGCTTACTTACTTATCTTCCTACTTACCTAATTACTGACCTACCTACTTACTTACCTACCTAATTACCTACTTACTTACTTACTTACTTACTTACCTACCTACTTACTTACTTACCTACTTACTTACTGACCTACTTACTTACCTACCTATCTACTTATTTATTCCTGACTAATGGTCGTATTTAGAGTAAGATGGCGCCAGTGTTTGAGGCTTGCCGTCTGACTCTCCTCCTGTTTTGTTTCTGTCTCCTGTCAGGTTTTAATTTTATTACAAGTGTAAACTCTCTGATTGTGTATGATCGCCAAACATTGCTGGACATTGGTGCCTCAGCTGGAAACACGTTACTGAGGACGTATAATGCAGAAAAAACTTCGACCCGGCAGTTGGGCATTCCAGCTCACCTGTGTCGTTTCTGGATTTTGCCTTTCCGTTGGAAGCGGGCGCGCCGCCGTGGAAGGCGCAGCGGTCGGCTGGTGCGATTGAAGGCTGCCCTGCGGCGCGGTTTCTTTGCCTCTGCGATGTGTGGTCTGGTGCCTCGCCTTTCCTGTCCATTGCGTGTGTTGGATCCTGTGGATTCCTGTCGGTGGAGGCCGGGATGGAGCGTTCCAGTCCCGTGGTCCCTGCGCTTCTCGGCCCTGTAGACGCAGGGTGAATCCTAGCAACCTGCGCCCTCTCTGCCGGGAGTCCCGGACGGCAGCTGATGACGTGGATCCGCCGATTTCTGTCAGGATCGGTTTGGTAAATGCCAGGTCGCTGGCAAATAAAACTTTCGTAATTAGGGATTTCTTTTCCTCTCAAGGATTAGATTTTTTATTTATAACAGAATCATGGACACGTGGCTTGGGTGATTCCAGCATTTTTAATGAACTTGTCCCAGGGAACTGCAGCTATTTTAATTCTCCAAGGATGTCGGGCTCTGGTGGAGGAATAGTGACTGTTTTTAAAAGTAGTTTTACTTGCAAGCAGTTGCCCGTACCCTCGTTTAGTAGCTTTGAGCTGAGCCTATTTGAACTTGGCAGCTCTCACACTGTGTTGTGTGCTGCAGTCTATCGGCCACCAAAGTATAACAAAAATTTTATAAATGACTTTTCTGATTTCTTGGCCGATATCATGCCAAAATATGACCGAGTTCTCATTGTTGGTGATTTTAATATTCATGTCTGCTGTCCGACTTCACCTATGGCTCAGTCATTTCTTAATGTTATTGATTCTTTAATTTTGTGCAGTCTGTGACTGGTGCTACTCATGAACATGGTCACATTCTTGATTTGGTTTTATCTTATGGTCTACCAGTCTTTAACTTAGAAATTGGTGACTCATTCTTTTCTGACCATATGCCTGTTTTATTTGAGACAACGCTGTCCCGTGGAAAAGCTAAAACTCGAGCTGCAGCTCGGCTCTGTCGTGTTTTTAACCCTACTACTGCTGGTCAGTTTTCTTCTGTTTTTAATCAGAACTGTACTATTCCAGAGGATGTGGGAAATAACACTGAGGAACTCAGCAACTGGTTTTATTCTACCAGTAAAGCAGGCTTGGATTTGGTGGCCCCTCTAAAAATTAGATTTCCAAAATCCAAGCATGAACCCTGGTTAAATGAGGTCACTCGGGCTGCCAGGAGAGACTGCCGCAGAGCAGAACGCAAATGGAGAAAGGACAAATTACAGTTGTCTCTCCAAACATTAAAGGAATCTTGGCGCCGTTATCAAAGGATTGCAAAAGGCAGCCAAAGAAAATACCTGTCGGGTTTGATTGTATCAAATAGTCAGAATCCTGCTATCCTATTTAAAATTATTAACTCTGTTCTAAATGATTCACATAGTGGCTTTATGGAGACCTCACCTGCTGCATGTGAAAACTTCTTACACTTTTTTGATGAGAAAGTTGCTTCTATTAGGGCCCAGATTATCCCCTCTTCTTATGATCCTTCAGTTGTGGTGCCTTGTTCTGGTGTTTTCCACAGCTTTGAATGTGTGAACTTGCAATTATTGCAGGAGGTGGTTAATCACTTAAGGCCAACTGGTTCTCCAGATGATGTTATTTCGCCCCAATTATTTAAAGAAGCTTTCTCTGCTATAGGTCCTTCTGTCCTTGCTCTTGTAAATAGTAGCTTGTCCTCAGGCGTTGTTCCTAAAGCTCTGAAGCATGCAGTTCTGCAGCCTCTACTTAAGAAACCAGCTTTGGATCCTACTGTTCTGGCAAATTATCGACCTATCTCTAAATTGCCTTTTATTTCAAAAATTCTTGAGAAGGTAGTCTGTAATCAGCTAATGGCCTATCTTAATGAACATAATATATTAGAGGTTTTTCAGTCCGGTTTTAAACCATTTCATAGCACAGAGTCAGCCCTTTTAAAAGTTTTTAATGATATACTTTTAGCAACTGATTCAGGTGACGTTGTTGTTTTGGTGCTGTTGGATTTATCATCTGCTTTTGACACAGTTGATCATGTCATTTTACTTTCCCATCTGGAACAGTGGGTGGGCGTCGGTCACATAGCTCTAGATTGGTTTAGATCATATTTGGCTGAACGTACTTTTTGTGTCTGTCTTGATGGCCATAGGTCCCCCTCTGCTCCACTGTCGTGTGGTGTCCCACAGGGCTCAGTTCTAGGCCCGCTCCTTTTCTCACTTTACCTTCTTCCGCTCGGCTCTATTTTCAGAAAACATGGGATTGCCTTTCACTGCTATGCAGATGACACACAGATATACTTACCGCTAAAGAATGTAAACTCCACCTCTCTTTGGTCTCTGTTTTTATGTCTTGAAGATGTGAAGGCCTGGGTGGCCCTAAATTTTTTAAAACTCAACGAGGACAAGACGGACGTAATGATCTTTGGCAGATCCACTGCTGATTCCGTGACCAGTCTTGGCTCCTTGGCTCAGTACGTTAAGCCGGTTATTACAAATTTAGGGGTTAAGATGGATGCTGGTCTTAAAATGGAAGCGCACATCAGAGCCGTTATAAAGTCCAGCTTTTTCCACTTAAGGCAGCTAGCAAAAGTAAAACCCATTCTTTCCAGACAGCATTTTGAAACAGTGATACATGCATAACTCACTTTATACAGGGGTCAGTGACTTGTATATTTCTCATCTTCAGAGGGTTCAAAATGCTGCTGCACGTCTTTTAACAGGTACACGAAAATTCGACCACATTTCCCCTGTTTTAGCTTCCTTACACTGGCTGCCAGTACATTTTAGGATTAATTTTAAAATTCTTTTATTTGTTTTTAAAACTCTTAATGGCCTTGCTCCTTCTTATCTGTCTGAGCTGTTACATTCTTATACACCCTCCCGTTCCCTCAGGTCAGCTGATCAGTTGCTTCTGAGGGTCCCAAAGACAAAATGCAAGCTCAGAGGAGACCGTGCTTTTTCTGTGGCAGCATCTAAGCTGTGGAATGATCTGCCTCTGAGCATAAGACAGGCCTCTTCTCTTGCTGTTTTTAAGTCCCTTCTTAAGACTCATCTTTTTTCCTTGGCTTTTGGCACAATTTGAGAGGTTTTACTTTGTTTTATTCTTTTTGTATACTAATATGTATTTTACACTCGTTTTTTCTCTATTTTATAATTTTATTGTATTTTATGATTGTGTACAGCACTTTGGTCCTGTTCGGTGTATAAAGTGCTTCATAAATAAAGTTGGTATGGTATGGTATGGTATAAATATACAAGATAAATATAAAACAATACAGGTACAACACGTACCTGTATTGTTTTATTGCTGTGTTGCACACAAGTGCAACACAGCACCACGTTCAGTGTCAGTAAACGACAAGATAATATTATTGCCAGATGCTTTCAACCGACCGATAAAACTATACATTAACTTTCATAAAACAGCTTGTAAGGTATTGGTTCTTGCTTTGACAAACATCTCACTCGCACTAATCCATCTCTGCCATTTCAAAAGTATCAGCACATCATCATTATAGGCCCCCAGTATGTAGACCACAGGTGAGCAGTGTACAGAGAGTTACAATATCCATTAGAAAGTTCCACCTTTACCACATCAGTACATGCACCGAATTTACTAGCAAGAGTACTAGCTTGAGCGTACAATATTTTACATAGTATACAGATATCATCACATCTGACAGATTCTCTGTGATGATTCAGCCAAGATACTTGGTTTTATTAGTAACACAAAGCGCAGTATTTGACAGATGAAAGTCTGGAAACTGTAAATTCAGCTTTCCTGTAGAAGATCTTTTATACTTGGCAGGACAGATGGGCGTAACCTATAGATACGGCTGATTAGCCTTCAGTGATCAAATACGTTGCAAAAACTGATCTAAAAATGAGCATTTATCCCTAATTTATGCAGGTTAATAAAATAATCTGTTCACAGAAATGCTATTCTGTCCTGGAAATAAGATAATTGGCTAAAATTAACCTAAGATTAGATAAAAATGTTTTTTTTTTTAAGGTAAACCATCTTGTTCTATTAACAAATATTCTTATTTACCTTCTCAAGTTGAGGGGGAAAATCCTCCTAATCAGGAAACATTGATTTAAAGGAATAGTACACCCAAAACATGATTAGCCTTCATTTTCTACTCACCCCCATGCTGAACAACACTCTGGAGTACTTTTTTGATATCTCAAATGCATCTGGAGATCTGGGAGGCTTCTTGCTGTCTGCTGACATTCAAATAATGGAGGTCTATGGCGCCCGAGGCAGAAAGGTCCATAAAAGTCCACAAAAAACGTGTCAATATTCCTCCATACTGCTCGTCCAATGTATTCCAAGTGTCCTGAGTGGGTAGCATCCAGAATTTACTCGAAACGAAGTCATTTAGAATGTTTTTAGAGCATAAACAGTAGTGTATAGGATTTCCTGAAAGCGCGCACATGCGCGATCACGACGCTACGGAAGCCGGCAGACCAAACCAGCGCATTCAGCTCGGCAAAGAACTCATGCTCTTCCTCAACACTGAAGTCCTCAGATATTTTTCTTTCGTTGTTTCTTTCTTTGCACAGGTAAACAGCACATTTCTTCTTCTACGCTTGCATTATCGGCAGAGCAGACGCTGAATGCGCACTTTCATCTGGTTTGATCTGCCGGCTTCCGTAGCGTCGTGAGCGTGCAGGCGCGCGCTTTCAGGAAATCCTATACTCTACTGTTTATGCTCTAAAAACATTCTAAATGACTTCGTTTCGAGTAAATTCTGGATGCTACCCACTCAGGACACTTGGAATACATTGGACGAGCAGTATGGAGGAATATTGACACGTTTTTTGTGGACTTTTATGGACCTTTCTGTCTCGGGCACCATAGACCTCCATTATTTGAATGTCAGCAGACAGCAAGAAGCCTCCCAGATCTCCAGATGCATTTGAGATATCAAAAAAGTACTCCAGAGTGTTGTTCAGCATGGGGGTGAGTAGAAAATGAAGGCTAATCATGTTTTGGGTGTACTATTCCTTTAATCCTGTCTGAATCTGTCCCCCCCCCCCCCCCCCCCCACCCCCCCAGCTTGCAGACACCATCCCCGGCTCGGTCTTCCTGCTCTCCAGGGGAACCTTCACCTGCCCCCCCAACCTGCCTCCCTGGCGCAGCGGCTCTTCAGGCGTTTACAAAAAGAGCCACCGGAGGGCGCTGTCTTCGGAGATCGTGCCTGGCCTGGAGAGGCTGCTGAAAGCGTGGTCCCTGGCCGACGTCCCCCAGAACCCGGCCGCCGTGTCGGGACCAAAGGGAGCTCTGGATCCATGCGAGCCCCTGCTGCCCCTCCTGATGGGTCCGTGCATGAGCCTGTGGAGGGAGTGCTACCTGCGGGGGGCGCTCCACGCTCAGGTACGTGGGATTTGGTGAAGCTGCTATCCAACATGAGGACGTGTTTGTTCTCTGTGACGCTGAATGACGCCGATTATTCAACAGATCACATTTCTTCCTTTAAACGCAGATCAGCTCAACCTGCTGATCAATAACTCCCAGTATGGGTGCAACAGAGCACAGGCTCTGTGATGCATCCATCACCGTCACCATGGCGATGATAAGAATAGTCCACAGGCTCGTGGGCGGATGCGTCACCCGCTGCAGGGGGAGCCTGTTCAGCCGCTGACAGATCCAGCTCATGTTAACAGGAAGCGCTATACAGATTCGTCCAAAAGATGCCAGAGATCATGATAGACTGCCGGTGAAACATAAACCTGAACATCCAGGGGAGGAAGTCTTTCCTAAATGGTTTTATTACGTCAAAATATGTCTGCATGAAGGAGCTCAACAGCCTGGAAACGATTAAACCATCACTGCTGCAAACAACCACTTCTGACACTTTCAGCCTCGTTTTCTGGGTGCAGAAAAATAGAAATCAGGCTGTGAAGGATTGTTTAAACAATTCTTTGTTTTTAATTTATTACTAAAGACCTTTTTCAGGATTTTAATTTGTGTCTTTGTAGTCTTTTTATCTAAATTATAAGAATATTTATTGGGGAAGTTAGTTAAAAAAAAAATGAAAAAGAAAATTGGTGTTTTTTACAGAGTTTGTACGGGTGCTGGAAATCCTTGAAAATGCTTGGATTTTGATGTTGTGTTTTCAAGGTTTGAAAAGTGCTTATATTTTGAAAGAAATGCTTGAAATTGTAACTATTTCTTTCGCAACAAATCCCTATCTAACTGAATCGTGTGTTTATTAAATGGAGAAATAAAATGTTGGGGAGCCTGAAAATGAAACCTGCTCGCTTATGTGTGACTGCGATCCGCCAGTCTATTTCCATGTGTGACTCCGCCCCCATGAAACCACTACTGCACCATGCCGGGAGGTTGTCGTTTCAATGAACGTTGGCTGGAAGATGAAAAATACAAATTATGGATTAAACGGGGACAAACCCTACCAGTTGCCTCTTGTAAAGCCTGCAAAAAAGATGTGCAGCTTTTCACAATGGGCGAGTCTGCGCTCTCGAGTCACATGAAGGGTAAGTCATAGACTTTTAAGTAAGCTAACTGAAGTAGCCTAGAACACGTTAACGTTAACGCCTATTTGTGTACGCTAGTAACTGCTAGCTAGGAATTTACAGGCTAAGTTACTGAGTGACTGGGAGTACTGTGTGATAATGTAATGTTAGTATTGCAGTGTTTCCCGCAGCACTATCTTGGCGAGGCGGCCGCCTCGCCAAACTCACGCTACCGCCTCGCCAACGTTCCAAAAAAAAAAAAAAAAAAAGTATTAATTCATTGCCAGGCCCAGACCTTAAAACAGCATTGATAACTCTACGGCTGATAATACTGAATTGCGACACCCTCTGGTTGGTTATATTACTACACCATGGCAGAGGAGTCATTTTTTTAAATTTTGACTATGTATTGATATGTAATTTACGGCTGTGTAAGGTGCTGGAAAAAGTTTTAAAATGAATCTTGAAAGTGCTTGAAAAGTGCTTGATTTTGACTTTGGAAAAGGTGTACGAACCCTGTTTTTTTCTATTTTTACATTTTTAAAACTTATATGCAGAAACACAAGATTAAAATAAATCAGTATCTTAACTCCTTAATAAATCATTTAAAAATAGTTGTAATTTGTAGAGATAGTTACTCATCAGTGTTGGTGGTTACTTACTTATTTATTGAAAAGTAATCTAATTACTATTCACATACTCCATACTCTGGTGTCCTCCCACAGTCCAAAAATATAGCTGTTTAATTGGCTTCTCTAAGGTCCCCCCTAGGTGTGAGTGTGTGTGTGTGTGTGAATGGTTGTTTGTCCTGTTTGTCTCTGTGTTGCCCTGGCGACCTGTCGAGAGTGGACCCCACCTCTCGCCCGTAGACAGCTGGAGATAGGCACCAGCACCCCCCGCAACCTCACTTGGGATTAAGTGTGTCTGAAAATGGATGGATGGATGGATGGATGTTGATAATCCAGGCTGCACAGTAGCGCAGTGAGTAGCACTGCTGCCTTGCAGCAAGAAGGTTCCAGGTTAATTTCCCGGCCTGGAGTCTTTCTGCATGGAGTTTGCATGTTCTCCCTGAGCATGTGTGGGTTCTCTCCGGGTACTCCGGCTTCCTCCCACAGTCCAAAAACATGATTGTTTGGTTTTTTTGGCTTCTCTAAATTCTCCTTAGGTGTGAGTGTGTGTGTCTCTGTGTTGCCCTGTGATGGACTGGCGACCTGTCCAGGGTGACCCCGCTTCTCGCCCGTAGACAGCTGGAGGTAGACACCAGCACATCTGGCGACCGCAGAAGGGATAAAACGTGGTGGAAAATGGATGGATGGATATTGATAAAAGATTACTTCAGAACAATGAAAGCGTCCCCGTCATCTCGCTCTGCCACAGGGAGCTGAGATGGAGGAAAATGTTTCGCTAAAATGTGATTCAAACTCAACCTTAGTGTAGAATTGTTATTTCTTATCTAATTCGTCACTTATGTATTTATTAGAAATGATCAAGTTCGGTTGTTTCTGTTCTCGTTTGAGACTAGAAAAGGAAAAATCCAGTCTGCAAGGAACAATGAATGGATCATTATTTATACCTAAAACATATATGTTGCTGTGATTTAATGAATTTAGTGTCAATCAGTAAAAAAATAAAAACAATTTTCATCACGATCACTGAGTCTGGGAGCGGCCATTTTTGTCCAAATATAGTAGCCCCTCCCTCCTGCCATCTTCCAGCAGTGACGTCACGGTGCGGTAAGCCTAGCGCCATTCTCCCCGCTTTACAAGCTAATTCAATAGGAACTACTAGACACATCTGCAATCAACAACAATTATTGAAGATTTCCAGAGGACTTCACCATTGAAATTCACCAGAGCTATAGTGAAACTGACAATGCCCACGTGCATGGCAGCTGGATGCTGGAATACATCGGGTAAAAGTGAAAAAAAAGAGTTATTCCACCTTTCTGATTCCTGATCCTCCACGGACGGGTTGGTCGTTGGATCGCCAACTTGAAGAGGGAGGATTGGCCATCGAGAGAAAAAACCCGTAATATGTAGCCAACATTTGGAAGAAGAATGTTTTCAAGATGACTTGGATAATAGCGCGTTGTGACAAACACCAGATACAGCACTGGGACTTGATCAACAGCCGATACCGCACCGTGACGTCACTAACCAGTAGGTGGCAGTAGTGTTCTTTGACAAACATGGATGCCTCCAGTAAAGCACATTCACATGAAAATTACTCTGAATTAAAAACACATATTTTATTGAACAGGATGGAATAATAAGTGGTGAGTTGGTGGCAGCAGTGATAGAAGCTGTAACTGCTGCAGGAGGAACGTCTAACTGCTCCTTTCATCAGGGTGAAATCAGTTTCAGTCCTTTGTAATGTTTCAGATCTAAAAAAAAAAGCGTGTGAAAAGCTGCTCTGACTGACGGTAAAAAGAAAACTGCGTTATTTTTATCCTGCTGCATGACGGCCTTCAGTGTTCCTCTGCATAAACACAGGAGCTGATTCTGAGAACTTAGCTCTCAACCTGTGAAACGGTTCAGATTAACTGTAGAAACCTGCAGCGATCAGCCTGTGTGACGTTTATTCAACAGATCACATCAAAAAAAAGCGCAGAATGTTGGAAAAACTATAAATCATATCAGTCTTATGTTTACATTTTATCACCGCTGTAGTTTAAGAAATGGAAACGTCTTCAGATCTGTACTGAACGAAATTTCTTTTTGTAGAAACGCTCTGTGTAAAAAAGGACAGTAAAGTTTGTTTATGTTGCAGTAGAGAAAAGGCCTGCAGACAGACTTTCATCAAAACAAATATTTATAGAATTAATTTACACGATTTTACTCAGATTCTCTGTTTTTTAAGCAGAATTCAGGGATTTTCTTTGAGCAGCTAAACAAGATGACCTGCTTGTAAATCTAGTGTTTATAATATATAATATAATATCATGCACTTGGAATAAGAAAATGGAGTTTAAACAGAAAATATCTTGTTCTGTTTGTCACTTGTTTTTCTTACCAAAACAAACTTACAGGGGTTGACGTTAAGGATTTTTACCACTTGCCGTTTGAGCAAGTGGCTTTCACATTTCATTTGCCCAGAAATAATTTTTACTTGCCCAGTATAATATTTGATAAATATAGTTCCTAAAATGAAACATGTTTGTTTTTTAAATGTTTTTTTGTAATTCAGTAAGTTTCCAGGTTCCTGGTGTGTATATGCATGCGTCAGATATTGAACTCAAGCCTACATTACCGTGTTAACATGCTTTTCAATCCTTCCTGCACATTCTTTTCAAACTAAACTTTGCTTTAAACTGTTGTGTGCTTGGAAAAATATAAATTGTAATGTTAAAAATCTAAAAAAAACTTGGCAGGTTAAAAACTTACACTACTACTACTCACTAATTTAACATGTTTAGCTCTATAACATTTAAATGCACCTCTCCAATGTCCAAGAGAAAAATTTTATGAACATTTTTTAATGTATGACCACTGTACAGAAGACTGCCATATGATAGAAATATTTACACTGTGCGCATACAATTATTATTATTATTTTCCTAATCCCTGGCTGATCATTTTTAATCTAGCGTGTATTATAGTATAGAATAAATTCATCATCCAGCTGCTGTTCTGCAGAATTCTCTCCCCATGGAGAGAAAAGTCACACCATCACGCATCTTTTTCAAATCACGCGAGAATGTGTACAAAACAACAAAGATGGCGCCGGCAATCCTTGTGGGTCGTTTTCAGCGAATGTCGGTAAAAAGATTTTTGCGATCATTTGCCCGTTGGGCAAATGCAATGAAATTTGTACTCTCCCAACAATAAAAACTACTTGCCCCGGGCGATCGGGCGATGGTTAACATCGAGCCCTGACTTATGTCAAGGAAAATGTTTTAATATCAACAAAATGTTATGAGATGATTGAGGGATCTGCCCTATTGTCTCAACTCGCTGCATTTCTTATAGGCGATCATTGATCAACTTTGGGTTTTAGAGTTTATGACATGGAGCTGGCAAAATAAAAATTTATTTCCGTAGAGGAAAGGAAGAGAAAACATGGATTGGATAGGGTCAGAGGTCACAGAGGAGGAAGTTTGGGACCTCAAACAGAAACAAGGAAGAAATGCTGATGCAGAGCTGCTAATGTTGGGATTGGACCGTATCTGCTAACCTCTAGTGTTGCTATAGTGGCTTTAGAGCCATCGATCATTAGTGTGCGGCTAATTGCCACCTATAAGGGCAATTAAAAAACGGTTTACCTTGTTTGACTTGTAAAAAAAGCAGAGGTGTCAAGTAAGGAAGTAAAAATACTTTGTTACTGTAGTTAAGTACACATTTTAGGTATCTATACTTTATTCCATTACTTATTTTTCTTCCTACTTCCGACTTCTACTCATTACATTTTCACACAAGTATCTGTACTTTCTATTCCTTACATTTTTAAAACAAAATTTTTTTTAATGTTTATAAATATTTATTTCCCGTCATGTGCGCCATCCAATGCAGATCATTGGCTCCATCCACATCTAGTGAAAAGTAGTGCACTTCCCCCTAACTAATAAGTTCCCTCTGTTCCCTCTGCAGAAGGTAACCCTTCTTCTTCTCTTGTTTCTTAAACATGTCTCTCCTCTCTTCAGGCCTAATTAGCGGTGAAAAATCTTAAGAAAAGAAAGGAGTCCTGGTCCTTTCTGCTCAGGGTTGTAGTATCTGATCAGAACCTTTCCACTCGTGGTTCTCCGTAGATCCGTCAGCTTTTAGCCCAGTTTGGATCTTTATCCTACCCACTCCTGGGTTATCCTCCCGCAGCAGTGCGTCGCAATGAGCTTGTCGCAGATATTTTTGATTTATGCCCAATATTGAAGCGTGGTCTGCGCTGTTATTCCACGTCACAACGCCAGAGGGACAATCAGGAACTAGCTGTGGGTCTAGATACGGCCGAGACGGTGAGGAAGTGGGGGCAAGTTTGTGCGACAACGGAGGGACATGAGGGCCAAAAAGAGCGGAGATCCAGGTGGAAAAAGGGTCCCAGCGTTCTCGCGCATCTCGCTCTTCTAGCGGGTCAAACTTCACGAGTCGTTTTCCACAATGGCGCTCATACAAACAAAACAAGCTAAGGTACCAAAACAGGAAATGCGCATAGAGTAGAGGGGATGTAGATTTGACTGCGGCCACCTACAATTTTGGGGAGGACTCAGCCTTAAGGCCGATTTATGCTTCTGAGGCGAAGCCTCTGCATCCGTCAAATCTGTCTCTGTCTCAAGAAAATCCTGACCATGCGTTGGACGGTCGACCTCAAGCAGAAGTTTGAGACAAAAAGAAGCTGTGATTGGTCCTTCGTATGCCTTTCCGGCCGTCTCTGTGGTCGTCCTTCTCAAATCGGTGCCGGGACGCGCAATTTTTAAAACCAGAAGAACAACTACAATGGAGACTACGACGAAAGGTTAATCGAGGAGGTTCGCTCCATTAACAGAACCTGTTCCTCTTCGATGTCTAGCAACTCTTGATCCACCTCCGTGACTATGACATCTTGCAGACGAGCCATTGTTGTTTTGGAAGATAAACACTCCCGCCGGCGCCAGCGAAGTTCTCGTGACCATCTGTATAAGTTCTCGCTAGTTCTCGAGAAGGCTCCCCCTTGTAGCCTCGTGAGACCATTCTGATCTTGCAAGCTTTCAAGGTTTCACTCGCTAATCAGTCTGGAGACTCTCCGTTAAAGAAAATTTGGAGCCGTTCACCAAACGAACATCCAATCAGCGTTGGCTTTGAGGCGGGTTGAGGTGTGACGCAACGAGAAGCGCGACAGTTCAGTCTAAAGAACATGGCGGCTTCAGCCGATGAAACTAGCGTTAGCGTGGCTATCGAGCAAGTTTTATCGGAATTACAGAGTATTTCTTCACTGAAAGAAGAGCAAAACACTGCTCTGGAGGCTTTTCTCAGAGGAAAAGATGTTTTTGCTCTTCTCCTGACTGGTTTCGGCAAGAGTAGCCTGGCTTGTGGTTGTGTTTTCGTCGTCGCACTGTTAGTACGTCATATGCTTCGTTGATCTGATTGGTTTATTTGGCCCGTCTATCACCAACATAGGCCAATTAGCTAACCAGTATTTTCGCCCCTTCCCAAAATTACTTCAACGGAAGGTTTCCAGATGGATATGCGGAGCAAATCCATCTGGCGGAGTCAGGTTATCCCCCTTGCCCTTTGGCGAGAAACTGCTGTGCTTCCCTGGAAATCCCAGACCGTCGGTGCAGAAGCATAGCAGCAAAACCGGTTTGCTATCAGACCAAAGCCACATTTGATATGTGTGGTTGCAGAAGTATAATCCTCCCTTTAAGATGCGCTGACCCCGCTGCTCTCTCCCTCTCCTCAGGCCTTCTCCCATCCCGTCTCGTCCCACCGGCGCCACCCGGTGGACCGTCTGGCCGAGGAGGTGCAGCAGCTCAAAGATCAGCTCGCCCAGCTCTCCAGCAGCAAGCGCCCCGACCCGCTCGGCTCGACGCAGGAGCCCAGACGGACCGACGGCAACCTGAACCAGAGCACCAACAACAGCACCTTCCTTTACTCAGCACTCAGGCCCAAAACGACCCCCCCACCTACCTCCACCAGGCAGCACAGCTCCAGAGGCCACTCGTCCTTGTCCGCGGCGCTGCCATCAAGGCCCCCCAACAGAGACGGTAACAAGCACTCCTTCCTGTTCGGACACTCGGCAGGAGCGGACGCTCGGTCGGAGCCTCGCTACCACCCTCCCCCCGGTACCACCAAGCTGCCTAAGAGCAACGGGCAGCCGCTGACCTCCTGAGGTCCGTCCCAGTAACCTTTAAAATGTCCCTCAGTGCTGCCCGTATGTGTGATACCTAAAAATCACTCCCCTGTGACTGTGCTGTACAGAAAACTGTTTTTGTATCTTTTTGTATCTTCGAATAAATTCAAGAGAAAAGCAAAAAGAAATTTAAAAAAAGGAATCGTGCAGCCGAGGAGCGGCCGGCCGTTGATCTTCAGACGGAGGAGGAGGACAGGAAAGGTTGGAGGTTCTGTTTATAGCTTCTTATCCAGACGCTTCAGATAAACTACCAGGAGCGTCTAACCTCTAAGCTGTGGGACTTTTTTTTCTGTTCCTAATATGCAAACAGGTTTGTTTCTGGATGTTTCTGTCGGCGCTGCAGCCCGCCGGCTTTAATGTGGAATTTAGGACATGAGAGCTATTTTTGGTCCCGCTTCCCTCTGCTGGTTCATCCTCCAGAGCAGGACCTTCATTCCTTCACAGTATTAAACACGTCTGCAGTCAGAACCCGGATCGTTCTACAGCGAAAGCTTCAGCATCTTTTCAGTTTTCTCAGACAACTCTGAACTTCCAGTCTTTTGTTTTTTTTACACTAATCAGTGTTTAAATTAGCCCCTTTATCTTTAATTCACAAGATCACACCTTCCAGTAAAGCATCACATTTTAAATAGTCTCATTTAAGTCGATCTGCTGCTTTTCTTTAAAGAACCTGTTATCCGGGTTTGGTTTGATGCATCTGCATGTGATCTGAGCAGATCTTAGTCGGACCAGTCGGTGCCAAAAGATTGAAAAAGCAATGAAATCCTCCTTTATGGCCGCCTGATGATAAACCAGACTGCTGCACCATCATTTAAGGTTAATATGTGGATGTTTGTCTGAATATGTGTGAAGATTTAGGGCATTAATGATACTTTATAAAGTGTTATCGCGTGATTATGGCGTCATCTCTGACCACGGTTTGTGTTATGCTGATTTAAAAACCCGGCAGGAAGCCAGTATTGGAAGCAAAGTGAAGCTCGTTTCTTCCCATGTTTACATTTTCATTTTTCTGCCTGATTGTTTGTTTGCAGGCGAAAGCTCCACCGGGTGAAACGTTTCCATCCCACCTTCCACATGTTGCGTAATTTATTTTAAAAGCAGGATAAAAGCCATCAGTCCTGATCTCTCCTGTCAGACAGTACCTCTATGGAGTTAAATGTGTTCCATTATTGTTGCAAATTCAAATTTTATTTTCAAAAAAGTTTTTAAAAAAATACGAACTTCTGCCCTTGAAACGCAGATTGACCAATAAAAATTAACAAACTGAAATGGAAACTTAAAAAAAAAAAGGAAATATAAAACGTGTGAGAAAAAAAAAATGTAGAAAATTACAATATATTATTTTGAAGAAAAAAAAGAGAAATTACCAATGTTTGTCTTAAAGCCTTTTTTTATTAAAAAGTTTTTCAAAATTTTGTTCATTTTTTCTGTTTGCAAGAATAATGGGACAAAACTCACTCCATATTCCTCAGTTTTCACATTGTTGTAAATATTTCTGGTAATAAATGGCCTCTAAGCTTTTCCAGGTGTGATGCCAAGCTGTCTTCCCTTTATTTGACCTCTTCACACCTGCTGATCTGCATCATCATTTCGTTTTTGGTACGAACATCCTCTGAATTTTGCCAGTTGTAAATACCTTTTTTTTGTACCAGCATGTTTTCCTCTTGATTTAAAGTGTTTTTCCTTATTTTTTCCTCTGTTCATGAAAAAAAAAAAACCTGTAGAATTTCCTCTTGAATAAAAACCTTGTCGTACACCGGCTCACAAACTTTATTTTTTAACAAAATAAATACTTAAAAAATAATCCGTAACAATTACAGTAAAACTAGGAATTAAAAACCCACAGTTAAAACCTTTAAGAGTTCATGTGCAAATAAAATACTTTAAAACAAAAAAGGTCAATACTGACAGGAAGTTCCGTCCGCAGCTAGCTACGGTGTCCAGCTGAAAAAATTTGGCGCTTTGTGAAACACTGTGGGTGAAAACGTGCTGAAAGAAAAGCGTTCTCCTCCATGTTTATTATGCTGACGATGTGCAACTTTCCACTAGTCTCTGAAAAACGTTCCAGTGCTGCTGCATTACCGAAAAAAAACAACCAACAGAGACGCAGAAAGTGGAATGATTGATTCAGTCCAAAGTTAGTTTAACGGCAGCAGCTTTCACAGTTGGACGGCCTTCATCCCGACCGACTTCCGAGCTCCTTCCCGCTACACTGCTGCAGTATCCCAGAGGGCCCGTAGAAGAACCCAGAGGAGGACGGCCCCAGGCCCCCCAGCTGCCGGATCGACTTGCACATCGGGCACGGATACTCGGACAGACCCTCGATGTCCTCAAAGGCCATGTTGACGATCTGGTCGCAGCAGGGGCTGCAGTAGAGGTGTCCACATGAGAGGCGTTTGAGGCGCCCCTCGTAGGTGATGCAGCACTGGCAGTGCGGCAGGTCGGGCCCCAGCGACAGGGAACCCGTCAGGGAGCTGCTCTCCAAGCTGCCGGCCTGGCTGGAGCTGTGCTTAGCGGGGGACCTGGGGGGAGATGGAGGAGCTCAGATGAACGGCATACAGACTAAAATAAAAACCAGATTGTTCAAATCTAATCCAGTGCACTTCTCTAACATGTGGAGTCCCCCAGGGCTGTGTTCTTAGTCCCACACTTTTTTCCCTTTAAAATGCTTATTTAAATCTGGGATCCCCAAAATATTTCAGTCTGAGAACCCCCCCCCAAAAAACCCCAAAAAGAAACCCTAATTTAACTCCATAAGCAACAAGTAATTATATTCATTTTTTAAATAAGTATTTTAAATTGTTCATTTTTTTTTTTTTTACATTATTGGGACATTTAAATATGTAATTGTGCATTTTACAATTTAATGACCAATAAAAAAAATTTTAAATCATACATTAGATAAATGTTACATCCACATATTTCATGGTACAACGGCTGGAGATAAATATTTTACTAATATATTAACCAGTTTCTTATATTAGTAATCATATGGAAACAACTTCAATAAAGATTTTATACAGAATTAAAGTCAGGAAAAGCTAAAGCTTTACCACTAGAGGAGTGGAAATAGCATAAAAATGTTTGTCTTAAATGCAAAATGTTTATTTTTATTATTTGAACATATATATTTATCCAAGTGTGTTTCTTTTTCAGCCAATCTTATAACCCCATTTTCACTACATTCATAAAAAGCTTCCCTACCGTGCCACATGATATCCAGTGATGATTCTGCTTAGCAGTGTGATGAACCTTAACGTCTGTCAATGTTTCCTGCATCTTTAAGCCCTGATTAGACTATCGTTTGTCATATAATATCTCAATTATAACCAAATTTCCTGAAGGATATGGTTGCCGCCATGTTGATTTGCTTTTTTCCCCTCTAGATCAGGGGTCTTCGACGTTTTCCAGGCCAAGGACCCCCAAACTGATTGTGAGATGGAGCGGGGACCCCCTAATTATGTATATTGTATGAAACTGTGTTCTATCAAACTGCTCCTATAGTCACTCTATTACAGATGGAGTAATGTAACTAAAGTATTTTCTCCCTGGGATTATTAAAGTATTTCTGATTCCTGGTTGATGGGACAGGTGTTGTGAACGAAACGGTGTCCAGCTTGAAAGAGCTCCTGTGTGTCACTGAATGTGAGCATTGATGACTGAAAGACATCTTCTGCCTCCATTTATCTGTTTACTACAGTGAGTTGAATTCATAATAATGTGGATTTCAATAAATTTTAATTAGTGGAAAGAATTGCAGTGGGGAATATAAAAAAAAGGTAATCAACAAAAACTTTTGTGACCCCCCTGCAGTACCTCCTTGGACCCCCTGTTGAAGACCTCCGCTCTAGAGAGCAGTAGTACCGTAGATCGTCACTAGGAGGCGAGGAACTGTGCCAGCACGGTGTGTAAGGAACGGAACTCGGCACGGTTAACTGATCCAAGCTCAGTCCGAAGTTTATATCTTCAGTTAACAATCAAATGCTGAATTAAAGGACAATTATTTCAATACCGTAATTGATGAATAACGATTCTGATTAAATGTTTCAGCGATACTTGGTATATTTAATGATTTTATTGGATATTTGCAGTTAAGCATCTATTTTCTCTCTACAATGATATTGAAGAACCATCCCATGATGCCCTGGGGGTCCAGACCCCAGTTTGAGAACCCCTGATTTAGAAAATACATTAAAAGTGTAATTGGAGTAAAAAAAAAAACAAAAAAAAAAACTGTATCAGCTTCCTTACGGGGATTCATGGACTCTCATAAGTCATTCTAATAATCAAAGCTCTAACTAAAAACCAAACGTCTTCCTCCCAGCTTTGATCTCAGGGCTTACTTCAAACCTTCTGTTTACTGTTGATGAACAAATCTGTGTTTTTTCCACAGCTGCTTTATTTCATGTGAGGTTTTTTTAAATATTTTATTTCCTGGATTCCATCCGGACGAAGCGGCCAAGTTGTCGTTCGGCCAAAGAAATAGATGATCTTAAACATTAAACAGGATTTCTTTATTTGGGCCGATTTTCAGTCAGAAGTTCATCTTTGCTGCAGCAGTTTGCCTGCTTGATACGGAACATCTGCAAAGGTTTCAGACAGAAGATTGTTTCCTTCAGAGATAATCTGCGACACATCTGACATTTTCCAGACCAACAGGCTTTTGGATTTCCTAATGATGCAAACCAAAATAACTCTGGTTACTAATGTGTTTCCTTCATTTTTAGTGAACAAATAATTCTGTTTTCATCAAGAGATTTACACAGCAGTCAAATGATCATTTCCTGATTCAAATATTGCGTTATTTTCAAAGACAAATCAGGTGCAGAACAAACCGCTATGAGAAACAGGATTTTTCCTGAGAAAACAACTGTGTGAAATTTTAAATATAGGGTCAGATGAATCTGAAGTGAGCTGAATTATATATTTAATGATTCCAAAAAAGTAAAACAATCCACTGGACTTTGTTTTCCAAGTTTGAAGACATTTCGCTTCCCATCCAGGAAGCTTTTTCCAATTCAAAAAATCAGAATCTTCAGCATCTTTCATAATGACGATTATATCACCAAACAGGTCATTATTTCCCTGTTTTTAAAGAAAAGTCTGGTCTGCAAAGAATAACCAATGG